AAAAAAAAAAAAAAAGAAGAAGAAGAAGATACAATGTACTTCTACGGTATTAGGAAAGCATCAGAAGAACGTCACCGTTACCTGATATTCTGGCTGTAGTGGGACCCAACCCAGACTTGTTTCCAGATTGAGAGATTTCCCACTTGTAAGTTTGTACGATTTTTTATTTAAAAAAAAAAATTAAAAGAAAAAAATTCAAATTAAACTCAAAAATTTTCAAGCTGTCATATTCCGGTTTTTTCCTATCTACATTTCCGCCTAAAATCACAGCCTCCAAAAATATAAAAAATAACATAAAAAAAAAGAAAAAAAAAACACACAGAACAGAAGCTACTCTCTTCCAAACAAACAAATTCAATTCAACACATCATCTGCCCCTCTCCTCAGAATCTCAGATACGCAATGGGCGGATCCGAACCTTCTCCTCCAAACCCTAACTCCGTAGTCGACCCAATTCCACCGCCTGCAGATCCCCTTCCGCTTCCTCCTCCCGCACCGTCTTCTGTCGTTGTCTCTTCCCTCCCCAAGAGACCTTCCTTCAGAATCACTTCAGAGTTCGACAGTGACAGTCTCGTATTCTTCCACAAGGTCTCTTGCAAACTCTTTGACAATCTCGCCAAGCTTAAGCTCTCGTTTCAGAATAACCATAAGCGCGAGATCTCTGAGCCCCAGCTCGCTCTCACTTCCAAACACTTGTCTATTCACTACGATCTCGAGGACCAGAATGCCCTCGTCAGAAGCTCCTTCGATGTTGGCCCCAGGTTGCACTTCAAGGCTGCTCATGATGTCAAGGTTTGCTTTTACTTCCTACTTCATATGCGTCTACCTCGTTTTGTTGTTGTGATTTGGGATTTCAGTTCAGGTGTTGTTGTTAACAGAGTAAAAATTTGGGATTTTTTTTTTTTTTTGAATTTAATGCTATGAGATATAAACAGAATTTTCCCTTGTTACTAGAATTCCTAATTCTGTGAGGTGGCTTTTCTTCTATTATTGCAGTAGTATAGGGGCAAATGTTCAAAATTGAAGCTTGGGCTTTCTTCTGATTGCTTGTATGCATACGTATATATATTGTTTTTCTTAATTCTGGGAAAATTGGGGATTTGGGGAAATGGGGTTTGCTTGAGCATGGTGTTTAAGGGTCAAAATTTCCTGAAATTTAAGTTTGCTGTTTATTAGGATTCTGTTTTCAATTAGTAGTCAAGTTTTTGAATGTGCTTTTCTCATGTATTCTTTATCTAGATGCGGAATTTGACTTTTCATACGGTTTTCAATGGTTGGTCTTGTTGTAATTTGATAGTCAAGTCACAAGATTGGCACTTACGTTTGGATTATTGTCAGGTTTTTATTGTCTAAAATAAATAAGCTGTGGTTGTATCTTTCTGTAAGTTCTAGGGCTGTATCTTATCCTCTATCTTTGTTTGGATATTTACTTATGTGAGTCTATGCTGTCACACTGATGTATCATATTTTCTTCATAGTCACAACAAGGTGAGGTAGCAATGGTTGCAAACCTGGGTGATCCTGGTTACGCTCTTGAACTGTCATCTCCTGTTCCATATGTTGGCTTGGTGAGTATATCGTTTTCTGTTTTTAGTGAATATTAAATGGTCCTTGCATTTAAGCTTGGGTTATTTTGGAACCTCATTATCAATTGCTAGTTTAACAACTCTTTTAATTTCTTATTTCATTGAAATTTGTTCTGCAGAATATTGATTTTGTAGCAACTCCTAGTACTGAAGAATATAATATTATTGTGTTTGTCTATAATCTATGTGCATCAACCATGTACCTTGTCTAGCATCAGTTTTTTTATCTTCTCTTTTCCTCATTAACTGTAGCCACTTTCCCAATGCTGCAGCCTAAAACAACCTTTAAATTCCCCATTGGTGAAGTCTCATTGGAGGAGAGAGATGACGAAGAAGTGAAGAAAACATTGTCAATCAGTGGAATTGCTAAAGGTCAGGTTTTGGATGGGATCTGCACTGCTCATTACAGAGATGAGGAATTGAAATTGAGATATGCCTATAAGGTTATTTTTTCTTGATGTTTTATCTTGCCAATTGATTTGGTTATTCATTGCTAGTCTAGGCCATATTCTTGGGGTCACCCACTTGCCTCTATTATATGAATGGGTTTAGTGACTGTATTTGTGTAATAATTGGCCCTGAAGATCTTCTTCCTGGCACATGATGGATGTCCAAATTTGCCATCTATTTTTGGGGTAGTGATATTAAGGGCTTTCAATTAATTGCAGGATGAGGCATTGTCCTTTATCCCAAGCATTTCACTTCCTTCAAATGCTTTATCATTTGCATTCAAGCGACGTTTCAGTCCCTCTGATAAGCTCAGGTTAGAATTCTCTCCCTGCCTTTACTGAAATGCATCATCAAATTAACTACCCACAAGTTTGTGCTGTCATTTAGCAACAGTTCTGCTTCTTGGCTGGCTATATTCTTAATTTGACCACAGATTTCTTTGTGTCTGTGATGCATGTGAGCTAGGTTTTGTTGTTTAAGTTTTAAACTGCAAAGACAAGCTACCTGTGAAACACTGAAGTAGATGTCTACGTGAGAATCTTTCTCATATTTCCTCCAGGGATTTGGGTGCCAAAATGTTCAAGGCATTTGCAGAGTTTATGGAAATCTTTCAGTGACTTGTTCATTAGACGTCATCATTACTCATTCTTTTTCCTCTAATGATCTGTCTTGTTTCTGAAGTCTTTTTTCCCGCCTTATCAATTTGATTTTCTATGCAGCTACTGGTACAATTTTGACTCAAACAATTGGAGTGCTGTGTTCAAGCACACGTATGGAAAAGACTACAAATTCAAGGCAGGCTATGATTCAGAGGTTGGTCTTGGCTGGGCATCTCTTTGGGTAAGTTTTCTATTTTCCAAAAATTAGTTATCAAAAGAATTACCCATAAAATTTATTTTCATTATTGTTTTGATTTTCAGATATTTTGCTCTGTACCTGTGAAATAGGTTATTACTTTTTTTTTTTTTTTTGCCATAAATAGCCTATTACCATTAGGCTAAAGAAATGTTTGTTAAAAGCCCCAAAGAGACTGCAATACCCCCTGTTAATAACCAGATCTGTTTTGTGTTATACTTGTAATGCAACTATGATGATAATTGGTTCTGCTATCCATGGTTCTGGATCAGCTAGCCAAGTTTTAGCTTTTTAATGTATGATGTAATAATTATATAATATAACAGCATATATACCTGTTAATGTGAATAAATGTGTTTTGGCTGACGTGCAGGTCCTTAAGTCATAGGTCCAGATCCTTGAGTCATACCACTTTCTGTTCATCATATGCTTGACATTACAGATTAATTAGAAGACGTTGGTAATTGAACTGACAAATCCTGATTTCAGGTTGGAGATGAGGATGGGAAGGTGAAGACAGCCCCAATGAAGATGAAAGTCCAGTTCATGCTCCAAGTGCCCCAAGATGACATAAAATCATCAGCATTGATGTTCCGTGTTAAAAAACGGTGGGACATATGGTAATGGTCCCACCATGTCTGGACTGGGAGTCTGGGATGACCTCCTGTCCATCATTGAAATGTCGTCGACCTTTAAAGATAGCATGGTTATGGGAAACTTCCCCTTGTAACGATGCTTACTGATGCTGTACAATGACTTAAGTTTGTCTCATAACCATTACATTTCTTTCTCCCTTAAAACACAATGAACTGGAAATTTGCATAGCAGCCATGAGATGATAGTGGATTCCTTTATTGAAAAACAAAAGCGATAGTTGACACCAATGACACTTGCCTAGACATATGGTATGTTTATTAATTCTAGAAATTGATTTCTCAAGCTATGAAGAGAAAACTGATCACAATTACAGTAAGGAGAGTGACTTTTTCCACCTCCCAAGCATCTCTTTGCCCTGCAAATGTTAACAACTTCAATTTTCAGAGAGTTTTCACATATAACCGATTCCTTTATAAAAACTGTAGAATGAAAGGAATCTGTTTCACATACCTTTCGAGGTTTAATAGCTAATTCATTATTGACAATGGATATTGCCTTGAATCCAAAAGGATGCAGAACCTCTTCATAGCTGCATGGTTCAATGAGTTAATGATCAAGTTTCACTAGAAAGAAGAAAGTGAGAAACCACTCTTACAGTCTCAACAAAAACAAAAATAGTAGCAAAGAATTACTCTGAAACTGATACTTTATATGGCGGTCCACCAACATGATCACCAATCTGCCACCAAATAACTATGGATTTATACAAAGTTGATATAAAAATGGAGAAATCTATCCAGGTTTCTTATCAAGTTGTCTATGAACATAATTAGTTTTCATTTAGTAGGAAATCAGAGGAATGATAGTGAAGCACAGAGTCATGAAGATGAAGGTGCTTACTGGAAACATTAATGTAATAAGCTCTCCATCTGGTTTTAAGAGATCTGAGATTCGTTGTGCCCATGCTGATCTCATGTCTGGTTCAATGGCACAAAAGAACCTGCGTATTCAATCAGAATGTGATAATAAAAATGTTTTCATAATGGGATAAACAACAAGATTTTTATGCTTACTTACGTATAATCAAATATGAGATCAAACAAATTAGTTGGTTGCCAGGTGAAGAAATCTGCCTTTAAGAAGGTAAAATAATCTGCATTTGGCAAGGAGGAAGACAACTGTTTTGAAAAATATCAGAATATTAGAATATGCAACTCTGAGTTAAAAGAAAAAGAAAGAAATGAAAAACAGGCAGAGGATTAAGCTCTGCCAAACAGCCCCACAATCATAGAACTAGCACGAGTAACTTTAAATTAAAATAAAAAAATCACAAATCTAAAACAGAAAACTACAGATACATGACTTGTGCTTAAGATAGAATCATATTTTCCAGTTATCAATTCATGATAACTCATTCAGAGGAAAAGAAAAGACAAGAATACTTTGACTTGTCCATCAATTTTCTAAGGGTCACTGATGAAGTTGAGAAATTTCTAATAAATTTCACCAAAAGTCTAGCAAACTTGGGAGTAGATTTAGGCTGCCAGGTAACAGAATTTAAGCTAAAGCGAATTAGTAAAGGTCAAGTTTCTGTCATGAAATAGAAATGGTTCACCTTGCCATAATATGGATCCCATTGCAGTTCAATGAGAAGGCAGACAGTTCTTACCTCTACTGCTGTCCTAATGGCTGTCTCCGAAATGTCCAGTCCAACAACATAGCGTTCAGGGCATGCCATTGCAACCACATCATAACCCTATCATGTCTTAAAAGCATGTTGTGGGTCAAAACAGCCATTTAAGAAGCTATCAAACAGATAAGAAGAACAACAGCACAAGAAAAACATAAACGCAGCCAGGAGAATAGGTAGTTATTGCTTAGGTGCTAATCTGCATTGGTGTACTCTAACATAGAACTTGATCAAGCACACACTAAAACTTCATAATTAACAGTGATAATAGAGGATAAAACAAAGTTCAATGTACTGGGTTTCATTTGAAGGTTTGTAAAGCCATGGAGTAGAATTCAAAAATTCAAAGCTTACTTTACTCCATTATGCATAACATCAACATCTTCTTCCTAAAATATTAACTGACATAATTAGGTACTAATAGACAATGAAACTTACACTGCCACATCCAGGGACTAGAGCCCTTCCCTTGGGAAGTGCTCCTGTCTGATGAAGATGTACCATAACAGGTGTAGGTTGTCCTAAATCCCATGGGGTTGCTCCTTCCTCCCAAGACTTCTCCCAACCACCTGACAAGTTGACAAATTTGACGCATCAGATACCCCAAAATCCAAGCAAAACACATTCTATGATCTATCCTCACTACAACCTTATTCCGACCTATTTACTAATTTACTAATCTGTTGAATTGTACCACCACTCTGCTCTATTTCCATGTAATAATCATGCAATTGATAACTCCTCAGTCCTCAATGAGCGAAATATGACCAATATTTAGGAGAGAATAAAAAGTAAACCATCTCCAAAAGCAGAATTTTTAAACAAAGATATGGAATTGTTAGGTGAAAACGAAGTGGGTAACTGGGTATTCACCGGAAGAATCGCTATTAACGAGTTGTTGGGCTTTGACCACTCGAGGGTTCGATTGGATTCTGCTTTCCACACCCTCTTGCCTGCTTCCTTCTCCTCTGTTCTTCTCCATGCCTGGCTTGGTAGCATGAACTCCAATATTCCTAGCTGGAAAAGCAAAAACGCTGATTTTCCTTTGCAGATTTCCAGCGGGAAAGAACAACGCCGGTGAGAGCAATCGCATAACGGTTTTGGATGCCGGCGAAATTAACTGGTCTTGGCAAGGTAATATATATTTTTTTTGGAAGCTGTCATTTTTAAGGGGAAGGAATTGAGGAAAAGTAAGTGTCCTGAAAATTAAAAATTATGGGTATAACTAAAAAATTAAAATATCTTAGTAGAATAAAAGGTTTTTATTTTTTTTTATTTGTGGTTTTTAGAGTATAAGGTAAGAGATGTAGTTGATATATATTTTTATAATTAATTTGTATGGAAATGGTAATTGTTGATTTTGAATATATAGGTAATTAATTAAAATTATTTATGTGTAAATAATGTTAAAATAAATGTTATTTTTTATAACTTTTTATGTAAATTAATTTAAAAAAATATATTTTATTATACAATTAGACAAACCCTAAAATAAAATACAAGAAAGAGTTATTAGGATTATTTGAATAATTTTACAAGAAATTTTAATATTTTAACGATTTTTTTAAAATCTAATAAGTTAAGAATGTAATTAATTATTATATTTTTTTAAAATTAATTAATATTAAAAATATAAAAACTAACATCAATTTTACTATCAATGTGAATTATTTTAATTAAGAAGTTACTTAAATAAATATTAGTTTTTATTTTTTAATACTAATTAATATCTTTATTTTTTCAATAATCACTTATATTTTTATCTTAATCAATTACACTTTGTCTCAATTTTTAAATCAAAAACTTTAATTTGTAAGTCAAACTAAATTGCACTTGTACCCCACAGTACAACGATCATAGATCGACTTGTAAGTTACATCCCCAATTTAAAGGTTAAGATTCGATTCCTCCTCTTCAAAATTGTAACCTTGTTCAAAAAAAAAAAAAGTCAAACTAAATTAATACTTAGTTGGCTTCTTCTTCCTTTATTATTATTATTATTTTTGGAGAAACTTCAACTAAATTGGCAATAAAGTAGAAACAACTAGCAGCTAGATAATCCACACCCTAACCTTTGTACTTTTTCCGCTCTTTCATACTCTAATTCCCTTACTTCTGCTATGCAACCATGCAGAAAGTAGAATTACAAAATTACTATTCCTTTATATATATATATATACATTTAATAATAAGTTACCCAATAAATAATAGTTCTTCATTTTCTTATTTTTTTCTAGGATGTTTTAATTTTTTTGGTATATCAAATAATAATAGATTATATAACAAGGATAATTTTTCTACTTAAAAAAATTTTTTTTTTACTCAATTCAAAATTTAAATTTAAGATTCTAGTATTCTACTTAAAATTTAAAACTATTAATTATTTAAGCATTAAAAACTTATGGGATGTTTTAATTGTTTGGAAACAATTGTATCATACCAATAAAAACATTTGAATGATAAACAACTACAATTCCTCAATCAGCTGTATTTAAATTGTTAACTCAATCATCACCTTAATTGAATTGAATATAAAAATGTAGAATTCCATTTTTTTCTTAAAAAAAAAAATGAAAAAAAGAAATGAAGTATCTAAGGCCCCAAAATCGCGGGAGTTGTGGCACGTGTGCGAATCCCTGTCCTTCAAACTTCTGACCATGTCCCGCCTTCCTTCTCCGCTCACCGTTGCGTTCTTCTCTCTCGGGAGACTCTCTCCAAACCCATTTTCTCTCTTCCTTTGTTTCCCATTTCCCTCTTTTCTATCTCTCTCTCTCTTTTCATCCTTCGTTTCACATTGATTGATTTCCACGGTCATGGAGGAGCGTCGTATGGAGGACAATCTTTTCGAGGACGAGGACAGAAAGGCGCTTGCGGGTTTAAGCAATACTCCACAACCTTCCAGGGTTAGTCATTCCAACAGCCATCAGCTCCGCGCCGGCCAGAAGCGCCACCAGGGTCGGAAACACAGCCTCGATGACATCCCCAGGCCTACCGACCGCTACTACAACGATTCTTCTGATGATGAGTTCTTTAACCGCTCCTCCAGTGCCTCCTACTCTAACAACACCGGTAGTGGTGGTGGTAAATATTGTGTGTTTCCCCACAGGCTTGATCAGCCTCCCTTACCAGATGATGGAACAGAGGATTATGGGCAAGGTCAGCCACTACCGGAGTTTGTAGGGAGCGGTGGAGGTGTTGGAATTTTCAAGGTTCCGGTTCGTGCGGCTGTGCACCCAGGACGTCCGCCCTGCCTTAATTTGAGGCCACATCCTCTGAGGGAGACTCAAGTGGGAAGGTTTCTGAGGAACATTGTTTGTACAGAGACGGAACTGTGGGCAGGGCAGGAGAATGGAATCAGGTTTTGGAGGTTTGAGGATTCATACGAGCCTGGTCTCCAGGGGAAGGTGAAGAGAGGCGACGAGGATGCAGCCCCATTTCATGAGTCGGTAAACACATCCGCCACATTGTGTTTGTTAGTGGATAATGGGAATAGACTTGTATGGAGTGGACATAAAGACGGTAAGGTCAGGACATGGAGGATGGATCATCCTGTTGATGATGATTCTCCCTTCAAGGAAGGCTTGTCATGGCAGGCACATCGCGGTCCTGTTAATTCTATTATCATGAGCTCCTATGGTAAGCTAAAGATTCCAAGTGTTCAACAAGTGTTTGATTCATATTCTAATGCAGGGTCCCAATATATGAATCACTAACTTTTTAAAAGTGAGTTTGGTTTTGACTCAGGTGATTTGTGGTCAGGAGGTGAAGGAGGTGTTATTAGGATATGGCCATGCGAATCCATTGAGAAATCCCTTTCTCTTAGGCCAGAGGAAAAGCACATGGCTTCTTTGTTGATAGAGAGATCGGCCATTGATCTGAGGAGCCAAGTTACTGTTAATGGTAACTGTAACATATCTTCTGCAGACATCAAATGCTTGTTATCGGACCACATTAGAGCCAAGGTTTGGTGTGCTCAGCCACTCCACTTCTCCTTGTGGTATGTTTAATTTCTTGCATTGACAATTGTCTTCCTATTTGTGTAAGGTTAATTATTTGCTTCTTGTTTCAAGTTTGAACTTGAAACCTCATAAAATTTTCATGCTTTTCTTGGAATTGATCCCCTGAATTGGTCATCTTTGTGGTCTAATTTTATATTTTAAAGGGATGCTCGGACTAAGGAGCTTGTGAGAGTATTCAACATTGAAGGGCAGACAGAAAATCGTGTTGACACACAATCCTCACAAGATCAACCTGTTGAAGATGAAATGAAGGCGAAATTCGTTTCCTCATCAAAAAAGGAGAAACATGGCTTTCTGCATCGTTCCCGTAATGCCATTATTGGAGCAGCAGATGCTGTCCGGCGAGTTGCAACCAGAGGGGCGGGTGCTTTCGCTGATGACAATGCTAAGAGAATAGAGGCTCTCATTCTAACAGCAGATGGGATGATCTGGAGTGGATGTACAAATGGAATGCTTGTGCAGTGGGATGGAAACGGAAACCGGGTGCAAGATGTTATTCCTCATGCCTCTCCCGTGCAGTGCTTCTGCACTTTTGGGACACGAATATACATTGGCTATGTGAGTGGTATGGTCCAGGTTATGGATCTCGAAGGAAATCCAATTGCTGGATGGTTTGCTCATAGCAGTCCTGTGATTAACTTGGCCATTGGAAACAATAGTGTCTACAGCTTGGCCACTCACGGTGGTATCCGAGTATGGAGCATCTCATCTCCAGGGCCACTTGATGCCTTAATACGAACAGAACTAGATGCAAAGGTATCCACTTACGCAAAAAGGGACAATATCAGAATTCTGATAGGGACATGGAATGTAGGTCAAGGAAGAGCACCCTATGAAGCACTGATGTCCTGGTTGGGTTCTGTTTCTTCAGATGTTGGTATTGTTGCAGTTGGATTGCAAGAAGTTGAAATGGGTGCTGGTTTTCTTGCAATGTCAGCAGCTAAAGAAACTGTAAGATTATCACAACCTCTATTTTAATGTGCACTTGGGTATATGGTATAAGCAATAATAGTTCAGTGCTGATATAAACTGTTTTTCCTCGCCACATAGGTAGGGCTTGAAGGGAGTTCTATTGGGAACTGGTGGCTTGATGCAATTGGGAAAGCCTTAGAAGAAAACACTACATTTGAACGCTTGGGTTCTAGACAATTGGCAGGATTGCTAGTATCTCTTTGGTAAGTAAAAAAGCTGCAGTTTTGGTGAAAGCTTTAGATTTATCTCTTATGAGAAATTACGTCAATTAGGGTAAGAAAAAGTATCAGAATGCATGTTGGAGATGTTGATGCTGGAGCAGTTCCTTGTGGCTTTGGCCGAGCAATTGGTAATAAGGTCTGTCTACCTTTCATAAATCCTCTAAACTTCAGTTTTCTATGCTTTTCTTCAATTTGTAATATATAAGATGAATGTGTCCAGGGAGGTGTAGGATTGAGAGTCAGAGTGTATGATAGGCTAATGTGCGTTGTAAACTGTCATTTAGCTGCTCATTTGGAGGCAGTGAATCGTCGAAATGCAGACTTTGATCACATATATAAGAACATGTCTTTCACCCGATCATCAACTGGACTCAACACAGCTGGTATGGTGCGCTTCCTGTTTTTGTGTTGCTCTGTTGCCTTCACCTCATTTTTATTTAGGCTGCTTTATTCTTCTGGCTTGCCACTCCTACTCTGTCTTGCAGCTGGTGTTGCAACTGCTTCTCATTTGACTCGGGGTCCAAATGTATGTTCTCTTTTTTCCATGAACGCATATTCAAAGGATAGAGCTATTTCCACAGCACCCTTTGCCGCATCTGTATTAAATTTCCAATTTCCACTGCGTTTTTTTTTTTTTTTTGGCCTGAAAATGATGTAACTTGTTGATGTATGATACTTTCCACAGGCCTCCGGAGGCAACTCTGAAGAACAGAAGGAACCTAAGCCTGAACTGGCTGATGCAGATATGGTCATATTTTTTGGTGACTTTAACTATAGACTTTTTGGTATATCTTATGATGAAGCGAGGGACTTTGTCTCTCAGAGATGCTTTGATTGGCTTAGAGAAAAAGATCAGCTCCGTGCTGAGATGAAAGCTGGCAAGGTTTTCCAAGGAATGCGTGAGGCTCTCATCCAATTCCCTCCTACATACAAGTTCGAAAGGCATCGACCTGGATTAGCAGGTACAACACACTGTTTTAACACTCTATTCAGTGTTTCCCTTCTAATGCTTTTTTTACTGTTTTTTAGGTTATGATTCGGGGGAAAAGAAGCGAATTCCTGCATGGTGTGACAGAGTAATATATCGGGATAATCGATCAGGGGAAGTAAATGACTGCAGCTTAGAATGCCCTGTAATCTCATCGATTTTACTGTATGTTTCCTAATAAAAAGTGCTTCCATTTCCTTTTCTCCATGTCCGTGTTTTCTAAATCTGGCTTTTGTATTTAATCAGGTATGAGGCTTGCATGGATGTGAATGAGAGCGATCACAAACCTGTTCGCTGTAAATTACATGTTAAGATTGCACATGTTGATAGGTCAATTAAGAGAAAGTTATTTGGAGAAATCATTCAATCTAATGAGAAAATCAGATCTTTTCTTGAAGAATTACGTTGTGCCCCAGAAACCGTCGTTAGCACCAACAGCATTGTTCTTCAGAACCAGGACACTTCAATCCTGCAAATCACCAACAAATGCATCAAGGATAAAGCTACATTCAAAATCATCTGTGAAGGTCAGTCCACTGTAGATGATGGAGAGCCTGCAGAATATCACCGAAGAGGCTCCTTCGGCTTCCCTAGATGGCTTGAGGTAAAAGATGTCTTGCTTCACTTTTCATGTGTTTGGTGACTAGGAAAATAATTGGTTTTCTTGCTTTCTGTTGAATTCAGATTACCCCGGCAGCTGGCATAATCAAACCTGAAAGTTCAGTGGACGTCTCAATACATCATGAAGAATTCCACACCCTAGAAGATCTTGTTGACGGCATCCCACAGAACTGGTGGTGCGAGGATACCAGGGACAAGGAAGTGATTTTGACTGTAATTGTTCGTGGCACTACCTCAACTGAGGCAAGAAGGCATCAGATCAATGTCCACCACTGCTTCTCAGCCAAGACAGTCCATCTCGACTCAAAATCAGGCTCTAAGAAAGCTGCTGGAGGGTCCTTCAATCGAGCTGAACTCAGGCAACCAAGCAATGCCTCCTCAGATGCAGCTGATGATGCCAGGAGTTCACATAAACCTTAAACCAATGGAGGACTGGGGGCATAGGGAGCAGTATACAGACACACCACCTGTATCAGATGGGGACTGATAACAAAGCTAAGGAATTCAGTTCCCTGCGTAGATGAAACCTAGTCAGCATGAGGATGTAAATACTAAAGGAGCATGACCATCTTACCTCTTAACATGACAGGTTTGATCTGTTTATGTTCATGTCTTAATATTTAGCATACATTACTGATTCTTTTGAGTCCAAGCATTCTAATTTTAAAGCACATTGTAGTATTGTTGGAGTAATTGCTTGTTGACTATTGTAAGAAGGGAATGTAAATCCAGCAGCAATAACAAGCTGGTTGGTTTTCTAAGAAATGACATGTTTCTTAGTCTCCAAGATACCAGACATATTTCCCAGCAGAGCTGGGAGCCAATCCTTCTTGCTTTTTCTTGTGTAAGATTACTAAATGCAGATCCCAATGTAGGGAACTAAACTAACTCTTCAACTCTCTGTATCTTGTCTGCGAGGTAGTGTCATGTTTTATTTAGAGATGGCACTTGGATTTGGGGTTGCTGCATAGGAACTTAGTAAACATCAAAGATTACTAATGAGTATCCGAAGGAACAGAAAATGCGATTTAAGAAAGGCTCTTCTAGATTACTTACGAACATCACATGCTGTTACAACTCACAATATTTCCACATAAAATGGTTTACAAAAGAAGTCAAAACTAGAGATTGGGGCCCAGGATCATTTTTGACAATTCTTGTGCTTCAGATGAATCCGTTGGCAGACTAAAAATCAAATTCAGATTCTGACCTGAGCTCCATAGCAGCAATCTCAAAATCAGCAAAAGTTAAGTTTAGATTCTGATCTGAATTAAGCAACTTCAAAACTGAAAAAAGAGAGCAACCCCTCCATCCTGAAAGGAAGCTTTCAAATATACTAGATGGCAATCCAAATTTATCTCATTTCAATTGCTCCGCCCAAAAACTCAGTTTCACCCAACACCTTAGTTCATGAACATATGGAAGAATTATAGACTGTTGGGGCTCTATACTTCGTCTGTTTCTCCTGGTATTAAAGTGCATATATCCTCTTGTTGTATTCGCCATTCAGAAACTCAGAATCTGAAACCACAGACATAGAGTAAGAAAGGGAACGACTCTCAGCTTTCCTTATATTTCTTAACTTTGTCTCCTCCATTCTATGTGCAATGACACAATAAAACATCGCACCAATTGTGGTTAGCATGATAGAACCTCCAATAACAGTTGCAAACACAGCAAGCCATTGAGAATGATTCCCGACCACCACATACGTCAAGGAAATAAATGAAACCGAAATGAAAAGACATGCCAGCCACATGAGCTTGTTAATGACAAAAACAAGCTGCCTCTTTGCCTTGTGTTCAATCACCACCACTGATGTCTGGACAACAACAACAGCCAGAGAGATGAACAATGCAAGGCTATCAAAAACAATAAAGACAAGAAATGCAGCATTATCAGCTATGTGAGCCTGCCCACGTGTAGTCCCAACTTCTTCCTTTTCAACATACTGTCCTGGCACTGTGAAGATGGCAGCAAAAGCAACGGTAGCAATGAGAACAGCAACAACAGTTGCAGAGTTTATAGCATTGTTCAGGCCACTAATATGCAACTTCTTAAGTCTCTTTGCAATCTTTTGGACGCTGAAACCAGTTTGACGGGTTTGTTGGAGTTGGGACTGGACGTCATGTTTTATGTCACTGACAGTCTGCTTAAGTTGCTTGGCTGGATTTGCAGGCTTTCCCAGGTCTTTTGAATTATATGCTCCTGCTTCCTTTAAGATGGTAACAATTTCAGAGGCTCCAAATTTTTCTGCTATGTCAAGTGGACTCTCTCCAGATTTGTTTAGTGCATTGACATTAATACCCTCAATGGATACCAAGCAACCAACCATCTGCAGTGGAAATAAATCCTTGGTTAAAATATTCCAATTTCATACTACAAACTGTATGACAAAACAAAAGAAAATCAGGCCTCAGAATATTCCAATTTCTTATTACAAGTTAAAATAGCTTTGCTTTAGGGCCTTATGCTATAATCCCTGGTCCTCAGCAGCCCCCAGTTTCATCCTTAGCCATCTAACTTTAGATTCTTTCTTTCAGTCACCAATAAGTTTCTAAACATGTGTCAACTGAGAAAAAAAATGAAATGCTGCTTTTCACAGGGAAAAAAATGTTGAGCATTAAACAAGGCCTTACTCAAAAACCAGAACATGGTTCATCTACATTGAACAATCTGTTTCAGCAACCACACCCCCTGATGTTAAGGTACAGAACAGGTTTTATTGTTTTAACATCCCAAATAAATAATATTATTGCACCAAAAGTCTTTAGCTATTAATTTGAGCCATTTATCACTAGAGATATTCTAAAATATATATATATATATATATATAAATGATGGATAGAGAGAACACCTGTGGACGGCCCTTCTTTGTGGCAATGTGCAATGCGGTATTTCCCTTATTGTCTCCCAAATTCAAAACTGAGGGGTCAGGTTTAAGCAATTCTAGCACCATCTCTTCCTGTTGACCTTTCACAGCCATATGTAATGCAGTTTGGCCTTTTTTGTCTATCCTAAAGCCAGCGCTTGGATCCTTGTTAAGCAAGGCTTTCACTACTTCCAAGTGTCCCATCCTTGCAGCTGAATGGAGGGCAGTTTTACCATTGTTCTTAGCTATCTTAGCCAGGTTTGAATCGGTTTCTAAAAGAAGATTGACTACTTCTATGTGCCCTTGGGCTGCAGCAGTGTGTAAGGCAGTTGTGCATGACAAATCTGTGGTCATGACCAAGTTGGGGAATACATGCAAAAGTTCCTTTAACACATCTGAAAGAATAAGTTGGAGAGAACAAATTAGAAAAAGGAAAAAACTAATGGGAGTACAGCAATTGAAGAGGAGAACTTTGCAAGAACAGGAATGTTCATAACGATCTTCTATAGGCAGTTCCCTAGAAATATAATCTCTTTTATCCATCTCACCAAACAAAAACACAAGAAACAATTTTATCAGCATAAAATGTAATTTCTGAATCAATCATACTGAATACCCAAATGTTGAACCCTTACCAACATGACCCTGCCTTGCTGCAATATGGAAGGCGTCATAGCCATTCCTTGCCGAGATTGATGCAGTCTTAAGGTCCATATGTTTCAACATCTCTGCAATAATTAGAGCATTCCCAGTCTCTGCTGCAACATAAAGGGGAGTCTCCTCTTCTAGGTTTTGCTTTGACAAAACTTCCGTAGCACTGATACCACCACAATTCTGAAGAATCTCTCTTACTCTGCTCAAATTCCCTGCTCGTGCTGCCAAATGAAGCGGTGAGTCACCTCTCTTTCCAGGTGAATCCCTGTTTTTTCTCCTCTCACCAACTCCAATGAAGCTAAGCTGCCTCTCCATCGCTACACGAAAGCTCATCTGCTTCTCCATAAAACCTTTGAAACTCTGCTGTTTTTCCATCACTCTGATAGCTGGTTGTTTAAAACTCTGCTGTTTTTCCATTACTCCCTGTGTGCTGGTTTCCTTTTCAACCGTTATACCTTGAAAACTCTTCTGTTTCTCCATTCTAGGTGCAGGGGGACTGCTCTCTTTCTCCATGATTATACGCAGAACCCAACTGACTAATCAATGACTCTCAAGCTCAACAAACTCCCACTTCCTTGAACTTGAAATCCTGATTCTTGATTATGTCAACTTTCGAATTATTTGCTTATCTCCACGACGAAGCACATCCTCATTAGAACATTGAAGAAAAATAAACCCACCAAGGAACCAACTTTACGGGTTACAATACCCGAACTCAAAAACAATTTCTAATTCCCTGCAACAGTATTTCAAAAATGAAATCCCCCAAATCAAAAACAAATTGCACAGAAATATGAGTATATGTATCTAAACAAAAATTAACTCCATGTGTTTAGAAGCTAGAACTCAATTCGCTGAAGATACAGAGACAATCTGTAGCAGTGATATCCTCAAAAATCAATTCATTTCTGCAGGAATATGAATTCTTTCTGGCTCAAATTGAAAATGACCCATTTTTAATATAATCAATCAAAGACACAACAGCTAACCTGACTTTCATTCACTATGCAGTTATCAAAACCAAAACTAAGAATTAACCATTAGTACTTTGATTTTGAGCTCCAAAGAGCAATTTTGATGCAAGAACATGAAATTCCAAGCCAATACTCCAAGTGAAGAGTATGACCCAGAAATTGATACAGGGAGGAAAGAAGAAGCAAATATCAGAATAAATTTTCAACTTTCAACCAAACCCACCAGAAGCAGGAGGAGAGAGAAATACCAGAAACTATGGATTTCCCAGACTTGTACGACTTGCAATTTATTGAGGTGTATCATTCTCTCTCTCTTTCCTTTTTTTTTTTTTTTTTCTCTACCGTTCCTTTCTTAGCTTAACTTGACAACGTGGAATGGTTCGTCGCACTTGAAGTTTAGGGTTGGTTGGAGTGCCAACCTCACAAAGAAAATTTTCTTTGTATTAGTATTTTAGTATTCACACTAATATATTTATACAATTAAAATATTTATATTTATATTAAAATGTTAACATTTATATCATATTAATATATTCACATTATAATTAATTATATATATTTAAGTTAATTACTAACCATCTAATTAATTCAGTTATCATCTTTTTCTGTTGAAAATAAGAGATTTTGAGTTCGAGTTGTATAATATGCGGATAGAGTGGAATAAGAAATAAAAAATAATTACCTCCTATTGTGCAATCAAGATAAAAAGAAATTAACTAATTTTGTACCTATAAATATTTTATTGTATAAATTTATATATAAGTATTTTAATATACAATAAAGATAAAAACATAACAAATCTTTCTTCAAATATTTCTCCCTCTTTTTAGTTTTCAACGTGGTATCAAAACCATAAGATACTAGTTCTTCTCGCTTCTTTTATAGCCACTATGTTTTTCGGATCTATTTTGGGTTCGAATTCTACAATTTGGGTTGCTTGTCCTTGATGATTTTCCAAGCCTCTTTTTGGTGATTTCTACACCTGCTGCTTTGTTCTTTGACTTGTGATTTTGCTGGTTCTGTTTGGTTTGATTTCTATTGCTTTGGTCTGTTTTAGTTGCTGTTGGTTTAGTCCATTTTGGTTGCTATTGGTTTGGTTTGTTTTGAATTTCGTCAGTTCATTTTTTTGTTGGTTCAGTCTAGTTTGCTCACTTTTCTACTAATTGATAGTTTTGGTTCAAAGATTATAGCTTTGGTTTTCTTATTTCTCAGATTGGTCTCTAAGGTATTTTCAATTTTGGCATCAATTTTTTCATATTTTTTGGAGATTTTTTTTTAGTATTATGAGAGTTTAACTTAGTTTATGGTGAGTCATAAAAGAACTATGACTCATCTTACTACTGTTATTGTTGCTAAAGAAGTGATAGACCAACTTACTGTCACTCATGAATCTCTAAAATATGTGATATTAAATTTCTTTAACACTTCTATTGCCTTATTTGTTACTTTAGGTACTAAACCTTGGTATTTTGATTTTGGTTGTTATAATCACAAGTCTTCAACTACCACTCATTTCTCTTCAATGTCACTATATCATTCATTTCCTAATATTTATATTGCTAATGGCTCCACCATGAATATTAGTCACATTGACAATATTTCTACAAATTGATTGACTTGACCAAATGTTGTCTTAGTTCCAAAGCTTGGTTATAATATTCTATTTGTTGATTAATTATGTGATCTTGGACTTGAAATAACATTTTTTGCTTATGGTTGTCGTGTGTAGGATCCATAGACAAGATGACTTCTTGGAATTAGTCGCAGGGTAGGGCGTATGTTTGAACTTAATTATTTGCATATTTCACATCATAAAATGGATACACCATCATTTCCAAATGATTATTTTTTTTTTCAAACCCTACTTTGTGTTGTTGAGTTAGAGTCTTTGCAAATTCCATGTTAACAAATCTTCTAAGCCTCTGCTACTATTAACATTTCTCCTTTCCATTTGTGGTACTTACGGCTTGGACACATTTTAGTCGATAAACTTCATCATCTTATCTATCATGGTTTATTAGGATCTGTTCAAAATGATTCCTTACATTGATTGTCATGTTAATATGCAAAACAACCAATTTTATCATTTTTGAGTAGTCATTCTCTTTCTATTGCTCCTTTTAATCTCATACATTCTAATGTTTAGAGTTCATCTTCTACATCCACCATAGGGGTTCTAGGTACTCTGTGTTATTTATTGATGATTATAATCGCTTTACTTAGATATATTTAATGAAAAATTGCTATGAATTCCACAATTCTACATTGATTTTGCTACCATTTTCAAAACCCAAATTTCTAAAATTATCAAAGTTTTAAGAACTGATAATGCTACTGAATATTTTAGTACTAAATTTCAATCCTTTCTCAAAGAATAGTGCACACTGACACAACAATATTATCTTTACTCTTTTGAATAGAATCGGCGAGCCGAATGCAAACATAGACATATCCTTGATTTTGTTTGTGCTTTGCTCATCTTGTCTTCTTCTCCAAAATAATTTTGGGGTAGAGCTACTTTATAGTTGTTTATCTCATTAATCGAATTCCATCATCAGTCATCAATAATCAATTTCCATACAAGCATTTACATGGTATTCTTCTTGCCTATGATCTTCTTAAGATTTTTGGTTGTGCTTGTTTTATTCTCCTTCTACCTCGTGAACATAATAAGTTTGAACCAAAAGTTCGATTATATTGTTTTTTGAGTTATGAGATTACACATAAAGGATATCATTATTGGAATCCTGTGTCACAAAAACTCTAAGTTCACATCATCTTGTCTTCTAAGAACACACTATGTTCTCATCATTGTCAGACTTCAAAGTGTCATCCTTTGATCAACCTCCACTTTTTACTAATCATTTTGTTAAGTTATTTCCTAATGATTATGATGCAGGTACATTTGATGAGTTCTACAATGCCTCACCACATGTTCTAACTAGTTCTATATAAGATAGTTTGCCTGTTAATTATGCATTAAACAATTCTAAGCCTTCTTCTACTTCCTCATTTGTATTACCTGTTGATGTTGCATCTAACATTGTTGAGTATGACAATGAGCTTGTTATCCTATCCCCAAGTCCAACCATGGTAAGAAATCCTTTAGCTACCTTCGTGATTATTATTATTTTCTTACTATTACTTCTTTACATGAGCCTCAATCCTATTGAGAGACCTCTTCTAACCTTTTTTGGCAGCAAGCTATGTAAGATGAATTACAGGCCCTTGAGAACACTCATACATGGGATTTAGTTAATCCCCTTGTCAAAAAATCTCTAATAGGTTGTAAATGAGTATACAAGTTCAAAACACGATCTGATAGTTCTGTGGAATGTTATAAGGCATGCTTAGTTACCAAGGGTTTTACATAGGAGTATGGAATAGATTATGAGGAAACATTTGCCTTAGTTGCTCATTTCACATATATGCGTAGTTTGCTTGCTATTGCTACCATACGGAAATGGAAATTGTTTTAGATGGATGTGACAAATGCTTTTCTTAATGGTGACTTAGAAGAAGAAGTCTATATGAAAACCACCTCTTAGACTCAATCATCCTCCAAACAAAGGTGTATAGATTAATATATGCATTATACGATTTGAAGTAATCCTTTCGAGCTTGGTATGCAAAGTTTAGTGCTACTATGAGTAAGTTTGATTTTACTACTAGTCCATATGATATAGCTTTATTCAATTGTAAGACTGCTTGAGCTATGGTTCTTTTACTATTGAAGATGATATCACAAGTATTGATGAGCTAAAACAATCTCTCAATCAAAATCTTGAGATGAAAAATCTAGATTGTTTGAGCCATTTTCTAGGACTTGAAATCACTTTTTTAGATGATAGTTACCTTCTTTCTCAAGTAAAATATACCCTTGATCTTGTTTTCATAACTAAACTGAATGATAACAAGAGTGTTTCTACACCTCTTAAACCTAATGTTAAGTTTACACTTATGGATGGCTCTCCACTTTGTAATCCTACTTACTATCAACAATTGGCTGGTAGTTTGGTTTATCTTACCACATCCTACTTTGACATAACCCATACAGTTCACATTGTTAGTTAGTTTATGGTTGCTCTTTGCTTCACTCATTATGTAATAGTACTTCGCATTATTCGTTATGTTAAAGGGACAACATTTCGTGGACTCCATTTTTCTTCTAACTCCTCACTTGTACTTCATGCCCATTCTAATGTTGATTGGGCTAAAGATCTTTCTGATCTCATATCTATCACTAGTCACTGTCTTTTCCTTGATAATTCTCTTATCTCTTAGCATAGCAAGAAACAAACTATTCTATCTTGCTCTAGTACTGAAGCTGAGTATACAACTCTTGATGTTACCATATTAAAATTTCTTTTATTATGATGGCTTCTTAAAGATATGGGTATCCCTTAGCCTTATTCTACTAATTTATACTGTGATAATCAAAGTGCTATATAGATTACTCAAAATGATGTATTCCATGAACGCATAAAGCATATTAAGGCCGATTGTCACTTTATCCATCATCATGTTGCAAAAGGAACTATCCATTTGATTTTCATTAGTTTTGCTAATCAACTTGCAGATTTGTTCACCAAGGCTTACTTCCCTAGATGTTTCCAAACTCAAGTTGGTTTCCCCACCACCACCTTTAGTTTGTGGGAAGATGTGAGAATATTAGCATTTACACTATATTAGTATGTTCTCATCGTAATTGATTGTATACATTTAAATTAATTGGTTTTATACCTAAGAATATTTTATTGTATAGATATGCATAGAGGTCCTTTGTATATACAATGAAGATAAGAAAGTAATAAACCTTTTTTTTCAAATCTTTCTCCCTCTTTCCAATTTCTAATAGTTAGGATAGTATTATAAAAAAAGTTAATAAATATTGTATAAAAAGTTGATATATATAATATGAAAAGTTGATAAATTTTGTAGTAATGTTTTGTTGAAAGTATGTTAGGTTAATGACTTTTTTGTATTGGTAAGAAAGTAGTATAGGAAAAGTTGGTAAGAAAGTTGTTAAATAACTCTTATACAAAAAAAGTTTAAAAAGTATGTGAAGAAGAATTTATAAGTTAAGAATTATATCAAGAAAAATAAAATTTTAAAATATTATTTTTACCCTTATTTTGTTATAATATAATGTGTAAAAATACAAAAATGAAGAAAGTTTCCCCTAACCAAACACCCCCTTAATTTGTTTTCAGTTTCATTAGGATTAATAACCTCAACCAAAACCTGTTACTAGCTTCAAGGTCCACAAGATGCAAGAGGTAACCACTCTAATAGTAATTAAAACAAACTTATCACTAACCTAATAACTCTTTAGCCTAGATTTATGAACCTTCAAAACCTCTTTATAGGAATTGATCTCTACATGTATATATAAGACTCACTCATAAGCCCCTCCCTATGAGAATTTGGGACATTACAATTATATTGTTAAGTATTGTATAATTTAAAATGTTTTACATTATATAATTTAAATTATTAAATGAGGTAAATTTCATTTAATAATCTTTACTTTTTGTAATTTAATATAATCCAAATAATAGAATAGGTACTCCACAAAAATACCATGTATAAAGAAAAAGAAATGTAAGAATATAGACGGCATGCGCAATTGGTACCCCACCATGTGTAAAGCAAATTAATCCCTTTGAAAAGAATGCAGAAACAAAGAGAAAGTGATGATGAAGTGGAGGACTGGAACCCCTCATGTCCCAATCTAATCCCCACCTGCTCTCCTGGATGAGATGAGAGGGACTTCTCATTTTGTTCTGTTTCTCAATTTCACTTCTTATATTTTCCTTAGCTAAAACCAGTTGAGAATTATGGTTTTTCTTCTTTCTCCCAATCCGCCACTCGATTTTCATTTGGTTATAAATGTGAACGCCACTCTTTTTGTTGCCCATTTCTGTACTAGCGTTTTCAGTAGTTTTCGTTTTTATTAGGACGAAAATCATTACTTTTCTTCATAATTCCTGGAATGAATCTCTAATCTGATTTTTGTTTTTCTTTTCTTTCCCACTTGTGGATACTTAAGGAGAAGCTGCTTTGGGGATTCAAATTGCATTTTCAACCACAGAATTAACGACGATTTGTTCTTAAATACGTGAGGGATAAAAAATCTGAGATTTTTTTTTTTTTTTTTTTTTTTAACTCTTCCCTATCTATTTCTTACTTTTTTTTATTTTACAATAAGTTGTACAATAACAAATAAATATATTCTATTCTTTTATTCACTTGTATTTTTGCAACTCAAATTATTATATCTTGCTTTATTTTACTTAAAGAATATATTACTATTAAATTGCTTAAATAACTAGTATTGATGACTTAATTAAAAAATGAAAAAAAAAATAACAATGAGTAATGTCTCCATGAAGCGGCTGAGATTATTGTTATTAAATATTTTGTTAAAATTATCAATTTTAATTGTAATTTTACTTGTTTATAATTTTTTAAATAATTAATTATAATATTTAAAAATAATTATTTATAAATTAATTTTAATCTGTTAAAAATAAATATTAATTATTTTATTAATTATTAATCTTTTTTAATAATTAATTTAAAATATAAATATAAAAATTTTCAATAAATTTAACAAATTTTACAGTGAATACAATCATAATCAAGCGAATGAGGCGCCATGGTGTACGGAATTAATCTGTGTTCTTTGTAGATGTATTAACCTTTTTTTTTTTTTTTAAGGCGGGTATTAACTGTTTCACTATTATTTGAATAATAATAAAATCACTTTATACAATTATTAAAGAATTACATTAATGTTATCAAAATTGTTAGCTGTCATGAAGATATTGACATTTTCCTAAATTTCGCCCTTTGCGTTGAAGTCAAATATTGCGGACCTCACTTGTTTAACTACTATCGCGTAAAATTCGAACTCCACCATTCGCTTTCGATGTTTTCGATGGGTCGTGCGATTCACTGGCGGTGAGAGTTCACATCTGTTTTAGAGATAATTTTTAATTTAATTATTAATTATTATTATTGTCAAAAAAATAAAATCTCGTAAAAATCTTGCAACCATTTTTCTATAATTAATACAGTGAGTAATAATCAAAATAAATAATTAATAATTTGTTGATCTAATTAAAAAAAATTTGATTTTTTGATAAAATTTTAAGTTTAATTTTTATAAATAAAAATAAATGTTAAAAAATTTTTATTTTTTATAGGATTTGATTTAATTTAATTTTATATTAATTAAAATTTAATGTGATTATTAAATATTAAAATATTAATAAAAAAAGCACCATAAATACCTTCAAAAGTAGAGTATAAATATTTTTAATCAACTTGCATTATTAAAAGGTGGATTTTTATTTGATTTTTATAAATAAAATAATATACAATTATATATAAAATTAGTTTGATTAAAAGTTTAAATATACATATTATTTATAAAAGCATCCATCATGACAAAGAATAATAGAAGAGACTCAGGGAGACCATGGCCTCTCAAAAATTTTCAAATTCATTGTGAACTTTTAGATTTTTTTTTAATTAATTAGTTCATCGAGAATTTATTACGTCCTTTAAAAATTTTTTTACCCCGTTATGTTACTCAAACTCCATCCCTTACACGTGGAGATAAATAGTGAGTACGATCGTAACAATGGTCTAACTCTTAAACTTATCTTTCAAATAAAAAATAAAATAAATTTACCTTAAAAAATAGAGATTTATTGTTTTTTAAAATTATTAATCAAGATAATTTATTTATTATTTAATATATGATATCAAGTTTTTGTTACAAACATACTCAAATAGAAGAAGCAGGCTTTCAAGTTAATAATTCGTCTTTAAATTTTAAGTATTTAAGTATGATTGATGGAGAGTTAAGCTCTCTTCAATGACTTGAAAAAAAATATCTTTTCTCCAAATGTTCTCATGTTAAAAACAAAGAGAAAACGTAAATAAGAAATAAATTTTGACATATAATAAAATCATAGATTAAATAATAACTAATGTATTTTAATTAATAATTTAAAAAGATTATGACTGTAACGAATTTGAGTGCTGGGAGGCAATTGGCACAAAAAACGAAGGAGCTTGGGTTGGTTAAGACTTAAGATCTGTTTGGTTTAGTTTATTGAAACTTTTATTTTTTTAGTAATAAATGATAAATTTAAATTTTTATTAAAAGAAAAATTTTTAAGTTATTTTTAAAAATAAAAAAATAGTAAAAAATAAGTTTAAAAAATTTATGAAAAGTAAAAGTTTGAAACTTTAAGTTTTTATTATTTAGGGTCCTTTTAAGATTAAAAAAGATTTAAATTTATAAAATATAAATAATATAAAAAGCTAAAACTTTTACTTATTTTTGTGAGTTGATCTCAAAGGATCAAATTGCTGTTTTGGGTCATGACCTTAGAGTTAGTTAGTGATGGGATGGTTTAGATTGAACCATTTCATATAGTTTTGTGAGAAGATATCCCATGTTTGTCCAGATTATTAGATGTCAAAAACTATCTCAACAAGTGGGCAAAGCTGTATGAAAACATGTTATACATTTTAATTAAAAAAAAACATTTATTTAAAGAATATTTTCCGTTTCATCGGTTTCTTGAATCCATGCGTTTTTTGTTTTCAAGAACCCATGCGTTTTCTGTCTTATTGAAAGTACTATCCGTTTCTGCTTTTCAAATGTTTTAAAGCAATATACATCAGTTTCAAATCTTGCTTGATTATCGGGAAAAAAAAATGTAACTTTATGTCAGTTACCTATGCCCTCTTGCTCTTTAAAAAAAAAAAAAAAAGAAATGGTTTTGTGCGTTTCCTAAAGCATAAAATCAAGTACTGTAACCGGCGACATTATTCATAGCCGGTAACATTTTGGAAATCATTCACCAGTTTCAAAATTGTTTTAAACATCAATTTCAATTTTTTGTAACCGAAAAAATGCTATTTCAAATTTTGATAGTTTCTCATTTACTCTGGTCATGCTATGTGAAAGCCTATAAAAAGGCAACCTTCGTCTGTACCAAGGCTGGATTTTTTTTTTCCTTTTCATAATCTGCACTCCTATTCTAAAAAAAACACAGCATTCAAACTCTTTTTGGGCAAGGAAAAGGTGGTGGGGTAGAGCTTTCTTTACAAGAGTGCA